AATAAAAGAACTCGCGTATCGATTTTCTCTCGGGTAACTAACTTTTTTTTTATTCTTTTGTCAAGGGAGAAGAAAATAGATATACGGAGAGAGTAATTAAATAGAATCGTTTGGCTTTACTCCAAAACAATTTTATTGTCATGGCACTCGATATTTCCGTTTTTCAGTGTATCTAAAAAGTTACTATCAAAAAAGTTTTTAAAAGAAATTTTCTTTTTGTGTCTTATTTCAAAAGGATTATTATTTAATTGTCAATTACGCTTTTTCTTATTTCTCGTTTCAAGTGGATTTAGGTTTTGCAAAAAAAATATTATAAAAATCTACAGATATTGAATGCATTATTCATGACGCAGCATATAACGTAGAATCTATAACCTTAAATCTGGTCACAGCCAATAACCTGAGATATTACAATAATACAATAATACAATAATACAATAATTCGAATTATGAGTATTAAAAATGTAGATAACATTCATAAATTATATTCTCATAAGTGAGATAAAGAAACATTTCTAATTTATTTCAGACCCGGGCATCCCTAATAATAAAAGATTTTTGCATCTTACAAGTTCTATGTCAGGGTATTTTCATAGTAGCTCTTCTTTCTCGTAGACTACTTTTATTTGATTCGTTAATATTTTTAAATTAAAAAATCGTACTATGATGGAGTTTTACTATCAAAAGTTGAATATAATAGATTGCCAAAGAAAAATTGCCTTCTTGCTGCAGTTGTCAACAGTCTAGACTTAATTCTATATTGTGTAACATGTTCAAACTTAGACAAGTTAAAAATAAAACGAATACACGCATTTAAAGATCTTTCCAACTTATCATTTAGATTTTAGTTCATCAGTAATATCGTCGTAGATCGGACAACAATAGTCAAAAATAGGGAGAATCAATGATTTAACTAAAACTATACGAGTTGATGGGGATTCTTTGTTTTTGTGCAGTTGTTGCAGAACCATAAAAACTTTACGAGAAATTTAAAAAATATTTTCTTTTCAAGATAGTGTTCTGTTTTAAATAATCCACAGATCCTTCACCGTTTCCTTATATACTATAGGAGTTCCACTCATTTTTTTTGTGACAACTTGGAAACTGATTTTTTAAATATCTATGGCACAAATTTTGACAACACTGTGGTGCAATTTTGATTGACTAACGGAGATAATAATCTAAATTCGTTGTCTTGTTCTAAGTACAAACATAGACTACAATTTTTAAGAATAATGTGTAACCGAATGTGTGGGACGACTTACATCAGATAGACAAAAACAGGGACAGACTCTATCAAGGTTTATCATATGCAAATCATTGTGCAAAGTAAGCTCGCTCTTATAGCTTCTCATGGTGAACTTTTCCCTTCCTAATCTACTCCAGCATATGGGATATTATCGGGGCTAATACAACTGCAACTAACTACTTCTCCATTTCATTGAACACCAGTCTTCTTGCATTTCTAGCATAGTCTATCTTTCCACAAAGGTAAAGAATTCAATAACTCTGAATCCTGTACGAAGAAAAAAGTTAGGTTACACCAATAGGAGACACCGGTTAAAACTACTTGCCCGATACAGGCGTGAACACAAGTACTGAAATCATGTCATCACAATTTGACAGCCAGGTAGTTTTGACTTGACTGCATCAAATAGTATCAATCGCTTGGTCGGTATCAGTCGGTATTGCCTGAGAAAGCTATTGACGCAACTGGAGAGCCAAGTCAAAACGGTCTGACTCTCCGATTATAACTACTTGACTTCATAAGATTATCAGGACGACTCAAAAGAAAGTAGTTACAACTTCTTTTTTCTCCGTTTGAAGGTAGTCCGATGTAAGATGGTCTTTCACGTGAAAACTAGACGTCCGCTAACAATGAAGCTTAATTTTTTGTAGTGCCACAAATAGAAGAGTGTACACAGTCCGATACCCTATGATGTACATAACGAGGCTATTAACGACGAATGAGATGCTAGCGTTTTGATAAAGCTTTTCTCCAATAAGTTTCCAAAAGTCTGCGAATGTCTGTGTTGCGTTGATTTTAGCATATGTTGCCATAGCTACCAACGCAACGCAGTCGCAACGCAGACTTTTAGGAACCTATTAGAGAAAGGCCTTTAAGGATAGATTTAGTAGAATGTCTGCAAATGATTCAGAAGGAAGTCGCAATTAAGGATAGATTTAGTAGAATGTCTGCAAATGATTCAGAAGGAAGTCGCAAAGATAATCAAATTTTGCGCCATTCAGAAGAACGTCAATCTGAGGATAAAGGACGGTCTTAAGATTCTTTAAAACCTCGTTAAGAAACCTAACTCAAAGCATACCGAATCAGACAAAGAGCGATGTAAGCAAAGGCTCTAAGTAACAGCGATAAGAGGATCGAAATTAGTCATTCAAAGACGAATGCTGACTTTTTGGGTAAACTTCGTAAAATAGTTAACCCAGATGTCAGCAACACAATGCTGGTAGTGTACTACACAAAAGGGAAACCTTAGAATTAAAATCGGAGGCGACTCTGTCAAAAATGTTATTATTGCTCAGGTTGTCAAGGCGGTTGGAAGCATATTGGTAAGGTGTAGTCGGTGGATCGAAAGTCAACTCTTGAAATTCGCGACTTGGATTTTGTTACCTAAGTAGAAAAGCTTCATCAAGTTGTAACAAGGCGTTTGTTACTGAGATTAATAGCGGTTTGTCTTTGCGAAAAAGTCAGTCTGTTAGTTGGTATCTCTATCTTAAATTTCCAAAGTTGATTTAATTCTGGTTGCGGCTCACTATGTGATGAGTATAAGGCGTGGTGACGAATTTCTACGATTGTTAGCGGACAGAGACGAATTTATTTACAGGTGATTATCCGTCGTTAGAGGGACAAGAAAGGATTTATCAGATTTGTGTGAACTTAGGTCAAGGACAAGAAAACCGGCGTCTCAGCTGACTAGTGAGAATATTCATTCGCCGGCAAGAATTTTAAAATTACAGATTGGACGACTGCGTGCTTTGAGTGCGAAAAAGTCGATCATAAATTCACACTTTGTAAGAAAAGCGCACGCTGCTTTTTATGCAAAGAAAATGTAGGAGTAATTGCACTTCATCATTAAATCTATGATGATAGAATTTGGAAATATTACTGAATCCCCTTACTTAAAAGTTTGTAATTTACATTAAGTTTCATAGATAAGAACATCGTTTACTTAACTTTCATTCTCCTTAGTTGTAATTGATTACTTTTGATCAATTTTATTAGCGTCTCGTTAAGCGGTCAAATCGATAATTTCAAAGTTCATTTAACATTTTAGTGTCGAGACTAGACGGAGTTGTGGAGGTGATTTGAAATCGAATTATCTTATACCAGGTCATAGACTCGACCTAGAACTTGATAAAACTTGTAGTCAAAGACTAAAGCTCAAAACTTCTTCAATCACATTCCCTTTTCATTATTGAAAGTACAAAATGCGTAATTGCTTTTTACCGAAGGCCAAAAAAGGAATTTAAACATTACCACGTCTTATAGGAAGCAAAACTATCGTTATCAATTCTAAAGTTCTTTAAATATAGATTTAGTAGTTTTTTTAAAAATGTTTTTGATGTCATCAGCAAAGCCTCAGCGGACTTCTGTCCGCTGAGTCCACAGAAGGTATGGTAGTTTAAAAGATTCAAATCAAAAATTATAGAATAGGAGATTTTTATATTTTTTGAACTACCAGACTTTCTGCAGACAAGAGTCATCAAGATCCTCGAAAAGTTTGTAAACATCCTGTGGATATATTTCTTGGGGAATAAAATAATTTTTAGTTCGAAGGTTTATATTTTTTAAAAAATATTTTTGAGTGAAAAAATAACGCTTTCTAATCGATAAACATTTGAAACGTCATATTAAGACGTTAGGTCAATTATTTACGTCAAATGTCCTTCATTGTACCACCAATCAAATATGAGTTATACCCTTTATTATTTATTCATTGGGTCAGAAGGTCGTATGACGGGGGTTGTAAGTTCCTTTTCAGTTAATTTGGCTCAGTTCTACTAGACTCTTCAGTGCAAATGCACACTTTTTTCTTTGTAAAACCTTATCACTTACATTGTATTCCGTAAAAAAAAATAATTGTAAAAGTAACCGTGACAACTAAAAATCGAAAAGTTTCGGTGTTTCGAAAAATTTTTCTTTCCGTAACTGATTTTCAAAATGAGTATTTTTTTTCTCGCTCGGTTAGCCATGGAATCTTTGGGTGAAAAATGGCATCGCACGTTACGAGTAGTTTTAAAACGGCACAAATATCAGCGAGGATTTTATCGATAAATACGTTTAGTCCACCTCTATTTTTCTAAATTAAAATATTTATAAGTACCGTATAGATAGTACAAATTTTAAAATAAAAAAAAATGAACGAGTAATCAAAAAAATATTTCTGTGTAAAATACGTACACTATTATTAAATTTGTAAATAAAAAATTAAGAATAAACCAGTAGTCGTCGAAATACGGTTGATTTTGTTCGACGTTGAAATTTTGTTAACTTACCAGTTCACTGTCGTAATTTATTATTTGTTTGCATCAGATAACGATAACACAAGTTTTCATTTAAAAAAGGCATCTTCCTTTTATAGAGATTTGATTTTGCATTAGTTATCGTTCAGATAACAAGTGTTAAAGTAGAACGTTTGTTTCGATTTTTAATTCTTCTTTTTCTAAAAATGGAAATCGAAACTCGAGGTTTAATACAAATTTGCTTTTCACCGAAACCTGTTCTAAGAACAAGGTAATTTTTTTATCTTCACTTATTATCACATTGAAGTAACATTTGTATATTATTTCATATTTTAAATGTATAAGTGAAAATAATTTTATATTTGTGTGTGTCTTTTTTGTTATCACTATTTTATTTTTTTAAACTTGTTTTACTGTACAATTCAAAACAATCTTTTTCGCAGTAAAAAATCAATTTCAGTAAAAGAAAAATATTTGTAGGAAACAATTTTTCTAAATATTTTCTTTGGTTTTAGGTCGGCTGGATCAATTGGAGCCCGTTCAGCTCCAAATACTCCTCTTCAGGGAAATGTAGTGGGGACGCCGCCAATTGGTCAGACTCCGTTTACTGGAATTCAGCTTGCGATTCCACCGTCTCCAAAAAGTCCTAGTCACTCAGGCTCAAAGAACAATGAAAGGTGAATATGATCAACATTTTTAATTTTTATGTCATACTCCTAACTTTCAAGAAAATTAGTGAGGAAAAGCCTTGTTCACTACCAAAGGTGACCCTGTCCCTCAATGGAGGAGTTTAGATAGCACAGTATACCTCAGAATGATAGCTTTCAATCTCTACCATCACGAGTTTAAATGCAAAAATGGTCGGACCAAGCAGATTCTTTATCATATCTTAAATAATTTATTTCAGATTACAAATGTAACATTGCGCTTCGCTGATTAAAAAGTAAATAAATAAACACGTCAGATTTAGGAAAAACTCAATCTTTGGTTATGCATTTTACAAATACTTTATATACTATAATTTTTTTTTAATCGTGATTAATCGAAAACGACAGGTGAATGATTAAGGTGGATTTTGCTAGATTATAAGCGTATTTAAATGTTAATGCTTAATATCAATAATTTGTCAGTCTGGTCCGTCTATTGGTCGATGGAAGTAAAAATTGCGAGAAAAATAATTACTCTACAAAATGGATTTATTAAGTTTCGATTGACTAGCTAACGGACTTTGGCGTCGTTGGTTCAGGTTTTAAGTTTTGACAATTTCTTAAATTAGAAATTAGCTTTTTGCAAAAACTAATTATTCTTTCTCTTTTAGCCAACTGTCGAAACCCTTGAGCAAAAGTACACCATCTATGACCGCTGATGGAAGCCAAACGCCGGCCTCCATCAGCAGGACTTCATCAAAATCATCGCCTGCTATGTCCATTAATAGTGCACGACAAAAGAAGTTTCACAGGCATTTCAGTCAGGTAATATTATCTCCATATTTTACTCAATCAAAAAAGAAGACATACACAAATTTATTGCTAAAGAAGAAGAAAACTTATTTAAACAATTTACAATTATTTTGAAATGACTTTTCATATTCCTTGGGAGTTAATTTGCGGAAAAGTTCAATTAACAAAACAGTTGTATTTTTAAATTGAGTTTAAAAGAACTTATCAAGTTTGTGGCTTTAGAATCTTGAAGTTATAATATTCTTGCGTCATTTATAAAAGAATAATTCAAAAAGTTTTGCTGTTTTTTTTATCGAGTTGAATGCTATTTACTTCTAGCTAGACTTGGATTTTATAACTCGTTTTTCTTTCAAAGTTCTTTTAAAGTTTGTATTCTGATTCCTTCAATTACTTTTTTATTCTATTTTTAAAAAAAGAATACGAAGCAAAACTTTTAAAAAAACAATTAATTTTACATTTGCAAGATAATTTACTTAGAAGATATTTTTCTTAATTTCAATATGAAAATTTCAGGGTGTCTAACTTTGAGTATTTTAACACCAATTGCTCCTTATCGGTCAGGGTATCCCTTGATTTTTTTTGCTATTCGAATCTTAGTCAAAGTACTACTCATAGTTTGGATCAATAAAAATAATATAGACACCCTGGAATTTACTTTTCATTACCTATATTATTTATATTTGGAAAATGTAACCAAGAGCAGATTCGAACTTGATCGTAGTCTTCAAAATTTTGTGGTCAGGTGGCGTCGGACGAGAGGGTCTTGAATTATTACAGTTGTGCACTTGTGGGCGATATTTTACTTCAAGGACATCTCTATATAACGCCAAATTATTTTGCCTTCTACAGTAATGTTTTTGGTTATATCACGAAACTTTTGATACCGACAATATCAGTCGTGAAAATCACCAAAGAGAAGACTGCAAGAATCATACCTAATGCGGTGGCAGTATCGACGGAGGAAAATCGCCACGTATTCTGCTCTCTATTGTCAAGGGACACTACTTATAAGTTAATGATCGAAGTGTGGGAAGCGGCAATGGAATCGTTATCTGTCATTGACGCACTACCGCTACCAGTCACTGAAGACAAGATTGTTGTACCAGAGGCGTTGCTTGTTGATGACAGTGAATTAAAAACTGAAGAGGACGATTCCAGTATGTCGGAAAGTGGACCTGACATAACATCCAGGTCGCCAACGCTTTGCAGCGATACTGATGGTCATTCACCTACAACTCCAAGTTTGCAGAGGTAACATCTTTTTCTTGATGGATAACACTTTTCAAAATGTCTAAACTTTGACACTTATTGTTTGACAACGAACTGTATATTCATGTTTCTTTTAGATTGGAGCAAGAGCCTTTATTGAAACAGAAAGTTCTGAGATCATCAATGAAGTCGTCATTGGGATCAATACTCTGCGGAAGACTTGAACCAGGAACTATAATTGCTATCTTAATTGCCCTTTTGGCAGCCCTTTATGTATCAGCCGCTCTAATGATGCTTCGTATTGATAAATTGCACTCGGCGTATGTTAATCATCCGCTTTCAACTACTGAAAGATTTACTCAGGATCGACTTTTACAGTATCTTAACACAAATTTAGATCAAATTATTAAGGTAAGAATTTGAAAGCTATTTTAAAGTTGATATTTAGTTCCATCTAATTTATAAGATAACGATCACTGCGAGACAAAAAAAAAATCTGTTCTGGATTGTTTGCGGACATTGTCATGAATGATCTTGAGACTTTTTGCAATACGGAATTATCTTTTGAACCGTTATTTTTTTATAGATATGTTGATGATATAATCACTTGCATAACATGAAAGGAAATCCCTCAAATGATTAACACTTTTTATAGTTATGATGAAAGGTTACAATTTACTTTTGAAACACAAAATAATAATTCTATTAACTTTCTGGATGTTTATTGTTGACAGCAATAAACTTGTTACTGGATGCTGTCTATGTGTCCGTATCCAAGGAACCTATTGCACCTAACGACCATACATCTTTTTCTGATTGGGCACGACATAAAACGTAGCTTTATGCGTCCCAACTTTTCAAGCTTTTCAGCCTCTTTTCAGTTTGTGATTATAACAGCCAACTTTAAACCAAGCTTGTTAGGTCCAAGGACCCCCACCTTTTTAGTAACTGATTGTCTTCCCAAAATCTGCTCCAAAGCTTCCTGGACATCGTCATCCTCAGTAAGGTAATCCAGATCGCGAATCTCCAGAGTAATCCTTCCTCTCGCCAACTGCACCTAACTAAGCTCACCAGCGATCTTTGTCAGCTCCTCAATAAACTTCTCCTGATCTGCTGCATCTTCTATTTTTAAAAGAAGATCGCCTTTCTTAGCGGATCTTGCGTCCACCACTCTTGTTTGTCTGTCATCCGGATTAGCCTTTTTTCGAAGCTTTTCCAAAACTTCAGCATAACTAATTAGTTATGCCTCTTCTGCCCAGGCTAAACCTTGGTTTTTTGGCTTGTATTTCTTTTTCATTTCAACATGCTTTTCCTTTACTGTCTGTATGAGCGATGTTAGAATTTTCAGTCGTTCCTTAATAGTCATATTGACATTCTTCTGCACTTCACAGGACTTCAGCATCTTGCTGACTACAACATATTGCACCTAACGACCATTCATATTTCTCTGATTGGGCACGACTAAACCTTGGTTTTTAGACTTGTATTTCTTTTTAATTTCAACATGCATTTCCTTTATTGTCTGTATGAGCGACGTTAGACTTTTCAGTCGTTCCTTAATAGTCATATTGACGTTCTTCTGCACTTCACAGGACTTTAGCATCTTGCTGACCTCCTTTGCAATTCTATCAATGCTTGTCGCCTCTTCATCACACTTCTTCGTCCTTCCACCCTATCCTAGATGATTCTTGGTACTAATAACGCGTTGTTCCCCTCCTGCAGCCTTGGGACACTAACTACACTCAATAACACTATCGTCTGATAATTAAATTTGACTAGAGACTCAAGTCTTCCAACAGTTCCAAGAGTGGGGTAAAGATTTCCAAAAGAAGTTTTTAGTGTCCGGGGCTGGCAGAAGGTTTAAACCTATTATCATTTTAACTATTTTCTAAACTACCTTTTAAATTTTCATTATGCCAAACTCACATAACTTTGCACTGCGGAATCCAAGGTATCTGTATGCAGATTTCCTAAAAGTCCCTAAGCAGAAAAACTGCTTTTCCATTGGCTGATGTTTTAGACAATATAGAAGGTAGGCAAACTTCGTGAAATTAGTGCCTTCCCTGGCGGAAGGCATTCCTGAGCACAACTGTTATTTGGCATTACAAAAGAAAATTCTATTATTTTAGAAATGTATACTGAGGATGGTCACCCTTTCGGTCCGAAACGTCTAAAACAGACTAATGTTTTAATAAATAATGTTAAACAAAAAGAAATATTAAATATACATTCATGCAAAATTACTCTATTGGTTCAACAAAATTAACGTGCAAAATCGAAAAAATAAAGTGAGGTTATGTTCGAAACACCGACTTCGAACACTACCCATTAATAATCTTACAAAACTGGTGTAAACCACCCTAACCAAAAACTAAAAATCCGCAATTACATATAAATTTTAATCTTTAAAAGGTCCGGCAAAGTTTGCAGACACTGTCACAACAAATAGTCTCGATGAATCCTGACAACGAGAGCGGTACAACAGTCAGGCCAATTGAACCTGAAGAATCACCGAGTTAGCCTCCAACAATGCCAAATATTGAAATATCACTAAGAAAGAAACTTGGAGTTCCCCCGCACATCACTAGCGTATGAAGCGCGTCGTTACTAGTAAAATAATTACAAAGAAACCTCTCCTCCAAAAAAAGGCTAAATATAAAGCAATCTTTTTGTGCTTTCTTCTTAGCATCTGTGAATTTACATTTAAAAAAAAATGAATCGTCAAAATTCACTTCTGCTTTAATGTCTTAAACATTCAAAAAAGAAAATTAGCATCTATAGAGAAGATGAGGCTCACAATTTTTAAAATTGATTGCAGCCATTACTTTTCGAAATAATTTTTTAAGGCTCTGAATAATTTGATTTATATTTGTGAAGTGAAATACGTTTAATAATATTTTTATAAATTATTTATTTATTATTTATTTATTATTTATAATAATAATTATGATATAATAAATAATTATATAAATTATCAACTTTTTCCCGCTTGAAAATTTTAAATCAACTAGTCTGTTAAAAATACTAAGATTACAATTTAAAATTGTAATTTTTTATGTAAGGAGAATATTTTTATTTACTAAAATAGTAAAAAATTTCGTTTTCGCAAGAAAAAGTTTATTTTTACTCACAAATGTTTTCAAAATCAAATTTATTGTTAACCGAAGAGAATTTTTCGAAAAAAGAAAAATATAGTTGGAAAATAAAAATGCAAATTCAAATTATTAAAGCAGGGCGAAAATCTATGAGCGCAATTTGCTAGCTGAGGCATTTCAACTAGTCACAAAAAAAATCTCTGCCCTTCGCACGAGTGTATAAAAGAGAAAATTCTATATGTGTATATAAAATAAGAATGTGTGAATTTTGCGATTATCCCGCATTTTATCAAAATGAAAAAAATTTTTTTTTTAATTTTTGCTTCTATATAGATGAAGCTTTTGTTCTTTTCTTTTCTTCGTAAAAAAAAGTCTGTGCCAAGGAGTTTGAAATTTTCGGGGAAAATTGACTATTATACTCCACGTCAACTTCCACGAATACGAAATTTTCTTTTTCAGTTTACTTTTTTTTGTTCAGTAGAACTTGGAAAAATTAATGTACGTCATTTTTTCAATTATTTTAAGTAGAGAATTAAACTACCGTCCTTTTTGTAATTTTATATAGGCGATTTTTTAAAAATGAAGTAAAAAAATTACACATTGGTAAAAACATGAAAAGAAATTATGTGCACACAACGGAATTACGTTTATCGAGTCATCGTGGAGGGTGACGTGATTAAGAAAGATTTTTCTTTTGCTAAAAAAAGGTGTTCTCGGCGAATTGTATTTTTTCAGAAAAAATCACTTCAGCCTTCATTTTTTAAATATTTTATTTCTAATTTTTTTTTTTTTTTTTTTTTTTTTTTTTTTTAAGTAATGTTAAACATTTGTTTTAAAAACAAATTTCTAGTTTTATTCTCCAAGTTTGGATTTGTAAATTGATTTTAAATCGACTTTACCATATTTTTTAATTTAAATCCTTTGATAATTTTGTAAAACACTGTTAATTAAATTTTTAGAATTCTATTAGTTTGTGAAAAAAATATTTTGTCTAATAAATTAAATAATTAATTAAATTTAATGTTGTGGACAAGTTACCAAACGCTAAAAAATATTTGTAAAATAATTTTGTGGTATATAGTAGTAAATATCTAATGTTGAATTTTGTTTATTAGTTTTATTTAATGAAATAGAAATTATTTTTTTAATCATTCCCGGTGAGAAGAGAAAAAAAGTGTTCACTTTAAAAGTTGAAACAAAAAAAAAATGTAAGGCTGTAGGATTATTTTGAAAAAGTAATTTCAAACACATGCCAAGATAAATGTAAACTTAAAAATGTTTTAGTAAAATTGCGTGCTGAGCAGATACTTTGGCAAAAAAAAAAATTCCTGAATATTTTTGTATCTGCTCTTGTGTAATGACTGCAATGAATGTGAGATGATTTTCGAAATGAAAGAGAAAAGAAAGTTATTTTAGAATGAAAGATTTTGTGGTGTAAAAAGTGATCCTGAAAATGAGGTTCAAAATTGTCAATTCTTTAATATCATTGGCTGCAGAATTTATTAATCATTAATATATTTTTAGAGATTCATTTTTGTAATTGATCTCTAATTAAAATTTTCAGATGTTTCTAATTACGTTAGGTTTTTTTTTAATTTTCAAAACATTTATTTTTATTTTAATTACCATTTGAATTGAAATAAAAAAGTATTTTTTATATTTTTAATTGTAATTATAGTCAGAATTTTAATTAACATTCTGTAATAGATGCTACAAGTGTATTTCAATTTTTTTTTTTTTTTTTTTTTTTTTTTTTTTTTTTTTTAGTTTCAAAATAATTATAATTCAAATAAAAATTACAGTTATTGAATAATTCTGTTTTAAATCTCTAATCTTATAATTTTATTTTATTTTTTTTATTTTTTTTTAATTTAAAAAAATTAAAAAAATTTTTTCTTTGGTGGTGTTTATTAATTTTAACAATTAATGAAGAATGGTAAAGAAAAATCGAAAATAGAAGTGAAAATGTGTACATAATTAATTAATCTGTCCTATCTGTTTATAATCGAATTATTGTAAAAGCTCATTCTTGAATTTCGATAATATATAACCTCACAGTAAAATTTAAAAATCCTTCGCGAAAATAAATTATTTATTTCTCACGAACAATTTTTAAATTCCTATTATACCAAAAAAAAGGAACTTTTCGAAATATTTCCAAGTATCGATTATTATTATTATTTATCACAAGTCAATATTTTCTTATATAGTTGAATGAAAATGATGAAAAAAAGTAAATTATTAAAAATATTAAAAATATTAAAAATAATAAATGGAGAAGAAAAATATTAAAAATTGATGAATAGATTTTTAAGAGAGAGGCTTTCTTAACCAGTGTCTTGTTGAAACAATTTTTAACAATTTGGCTAATATTTTTTTATTTTCTATAATGTCATAAATATAATATATAAGTAGGTAAAGTAACTTATGTGAAATTTTAAGGTCTGCGCTGATTATTGTACAGATTTTTGTTTTTTTTTTCCTTTAAAGCGAATATTGTAATTATTGTCCTCGCCGCATTTGATTTGAATATATATATAAATTTTTTTTTTAATTTCGATTTTTTAATGTGCCAATACACACGAACCGAACAAAGTGGATCGTATTTTGTGTTCGTCTTTGCACTTTGCACTGTTTCAATAATAAAGAACAAAACATTTGACAAAAATTGTTTCTAATGTCAAAAAAATTGGGGTATTGTCCACTTTGCATCGCTGTTGTATACGAGAAACATAAAAAAAAACATTTTTGATAGACAATTTAGTATTAATATTGAATGTATATATTTTTTTATTTATTTTGAGAATAATATGCAATTATAATCTTTTGTTGAAAATAAAATTGAATGTGAATTTGGATCAGCAACAAAAGATTAAAATTCGCTCTAAAATTTGCAAAAATTGAAAATCAAAAATCAATTTTTTCGTTCCATTTCATGTTTTTGGAATATTTATCTATTGTTTCAATTAGACCATTTTTGTTTCTCTTTAGATTTTATTGTGGTGCTCAATAAGCGATTAAAAAGCTTAACTAGGGATTTTAGCGTAATTATTTTTTTATTCAGTCTGAGTAAATCGTTCACTGCTGACAATTTGTTTTTTACTTTGTAATATATAATTAACTATAATTAGTAAATTTATAACAGCTTTTGTATAATTATCATATTTTTTAATCGATTCATTATTGTATTTATTTTTAAAAAAATTATAGACTAGAACATTATTTTCATCTTCATCAAAACATTTTTTTTTTTTTTTTTTTTGGATAGTAAGTTGTTCTCTGTCCACGACTGAAATACTACATTATATAATATTGTTAATAATATATTGTAAAAAAAAAAAAATTTTTTTTCCTTATTTCCCATCAAAAATATAGCCCGCTCGTTTTCATAAATATATTTATGATAACATTGTTCTTGTAATATGGGCGTAATGAGCTCAATTTAGGCAAAACAAAAAGGAGAAATGTCTTCAAAAAAAAAAAAAAAAAAAAATCAAAGAACAATATATTGTTAATCGTGATTTAAAAAAAAATCAAGTTGCGCGAATGAGTGTAGGAGTAAATGAGAGATTTGTGAAAAAATTGAGAATTAAAAAAGGATGTTGAAAAACAATAATGCAGACAGACCAATAATTTAATATGTAATTTGTGTATAGCTGATACACAGAGTACAATAAAGAATATTGAAAAATTCTGAGGAATTGTCGTTTCTAGAATTTATTTTATTAAAATAAAATAGAGAACATTTTACTTAAAAATAGAAATTAAATTTTTCATAACTATAAAACATGAAAAAATCGATAACTCCGAGTCTTCGACTCCGAGTGATGAATTTCTTCATGTTTTATAATAATTAATAACCGAGTGATAAAATCATTATCAATTCAATTATTATTTTCAAGAATTTAAAACTAAAATTCTCCTTTAAATCGATTATTATTTTTAAAAATTTTCGAAAAAGTTCTTTGAGAATTTTCAAATTCATTTGTTTACAATTAAATTTTACAAAATTTCAATTATTCGTAAATTCTTCAATTAAAAATATGTATTTGAAAAAAAAACTTCAAATAATTCTAAAAAAAAAAAATTCGCAATTAAACTTTCTGAAAAAATGAATTACACGTAGACTTGTTAGTTAAAAATATGAAAATTTCAAATTTGCAAAGATTTTAATTTAAAACCTTTTCAAAATTCAATTATTTCTAACAATTCAATTAAAATCTAAAATTTTAACTGTAATTTATTTTTAAATTAATTCTTATTCAAAAATTCTACCAGAATTCAATTATTTAAATACAAAAATAAATAATTGATAGAATAACTTATTAAATTTAAATTAATTTCTTAATGTGAATACTGAAAAAAAATTTTATCGAAATTTTTGAAAATAATTTATTTCTTTCGAATAGAAAATTAATAAAATAATTACATTTTACGAGGATTTCATTTCAAACTGTATTCAAAATAATTTAAATTCTGTAAAGAATTTTATTATTTGTAAAAATAATTTAATTATAGCTTTGAATTTTATTAAATTTTTGAAAATAACTAAATTAGTTTAAAAAATTTTGTGGTAATTTTCGAAAATAATTAAAAGACTTCAAAGAATTGAATTAAAATTGTAGGTTGAAAATAATTGAATTCCTCTAAAGAATTTTATTATTTACTAAAATAATTGAATTCTTTAGAAGAATTTTATTAAAATTATATTTTAAATAATTCAATTCATCTAAAGAATTGTATTATTTATGAAAACAATTGAATTTTCACCAAAAATATATTAAAATTTAAAAAAAATGAATTCTTGCAAATTTTTTCGAGAAATTAAATTAAAATTATATTGAAGATAATTGAATTCTTGCAAAAAATTTTATTATTTATAAAAATAATTGAATTTTTGTAAAGAATTTTATTAACTTTCTTTAAATAATTGAATTCCTGGGAAAAATTTTATAATGTGTAAAAATAATTGAATTCTTTTTTCATTTTACAAAAATTTAAAAGAATATTTCAAATATTTCGATAAATTTAATTAAATTTGGATTAAAAATAATTGAATTTTTGCAATGAATTTTATTATTTATAAAAATAATAATTTAATTATTATAAACAAATTTTGTCAAAAATTTTAGAATATAATTAATTTTTCCAAAGAATTTCATTAAAATATTTAAATAATTGATTTTTTTCGAATTTTATTGAAATTATATTTAAAATATTTGAATTCATTTAAAGAATTGTATTTTATTTATGAAAATAATTGAAATTCAACAAAGAATGTATTAAATTTAAAAAAAAAATAAATTGCAAATTATTTCTACGAATTAAATTAAAATTGCATTGAAAATAATTGAATGATTGCGAAGAAATTTATAAAAAATTTGTAAATAATTGAATTCCTGTGAAATTTTTGTTATTTTATGAAAATAATTAAAAGTTTACGTAGAATTTTATTAAATTTCTTTAAAATAATTGAATTCTTTTGAAAAAATTTATTAAAACAGTAGATATTAAGAAATCATTGAATTGTGGAAAATTTTTGAAAATAATTGAAATTTTGTTAAGAATTGTATTAAAATTTTTGAAAATAATTGAAATTTTGTCAAGACGTGTATTAAAATTTATGAAAATAATTGAATTTCGAAAAAGAATTTTAATATTTCTAAAAATAATTGAAATTTTGAGGAGAATTTTAAAAAAATTTTTAACATAATTGAATTTTTGCGAAGAATTTTATTACTTTTGAAAATAATTAAATTTCTCCAATCATTTGTAATTTCTCTAAAATTCTCCAAATTATATCGTACAATTTACGAACTTTTCGTCCTTTTTCTATCAAATTTCAGACTTTATGGACCTTTTTTTTAGAAAAAAAAACTGACTGATTAGGTAATTAATTAAGAAATATTGTCCAAAACATCTTTATTTTGATCTTTTTTGCTGCTATATCCTTTTTTTATGTAATTTATACAAATTTCATACAAATATCTTAATTTAAAATTTATAAAAAAAAATTCTACAAACAAATTTTTTTGTCTTAAAATCGTTGTTTTATTACGCAAATAATAATGGCATAAAAATTTTTGAGTTCGTGTTAAAAACTATAATCTCTTTGTCACATAGTTTTAATATCTTCTCGGATATTAAAACAATTTAAAAATTACATAAAAGGACAAAGTCATCTTTTTTAAAAGAAATTATAATGAAAAATTCATATTTTAACACGTTTTTATCTTTTTCTCGAAAAAAAAGAAAACGTATTCTCGTTATTTTATTTTACATAAAAAGCATAAGACCTATAAATATTTATTTATAAAAGTTTTACTACAAGACAAATCTTGTTATATAAATATAGTATATATATATAGCTTCTTATTACTATACAAAAGATTTCTCTTTACTTTTCTCATCGAATAATACCATATTAACGAAAGACAGCAAAATTTTATAATTTCGAAATATTAGAAAATTTTTACTGTTTTTCATTATTTTTTTAAACATTCAGTATTCGTGATACAAAAATGAATTGAAAATACATTTTTTGCCAAAGCAATTAATTCCAAAGCGTAGAAAAAGTATTTCAAAAATAAAATTTTAAAAAGTATTTTTTATTTATAGTTAAATTTTTTTTTTCTTTGTAAAAAGTGTTATTTTTTGTGATTTTTTTAAATAATATAATTTAAGAAATAATTAATAGCATACAAGAAGAATTTGGAAAAATTATCAATGAAATAAATCGATGGAAGAGTTTTTTCTTATAAAGTAAAAATAAAATACAAGCGTCACTATATGTATTGAAATACGTGAACACAAATTTAATAATTATTGATTAACTTCAAAAAATTTCTATACATTGCAGGAGTGAATTTTTTTTTCAATTTTCTTTATATTTATTAAAAGTAAATGCCTAATAATTTTTCATTTTTAATTTCAAATAGTAACCAATATTTACTATTCTGATTTTTTTTTAAAAACACTATTCGATATTTACTGGTTTTCATCTTCGCGTATAGAAATATGGCATCTTGGCCATTAAATGGGACGAATTAGAATAAAAATTTCACAAAATAGTACAAAAATATCGTGAGTTTTCGATTATATTATTTAAATATACATATATAAGTCTCTGGCGACAGAAAAAGGCACATAAAAAAATGGCACCTTTGAGTTGCGATTTTACGCTACTTGGCACGTAGTAAATCGAATTATTATCGTCTCTTTATATTAATTAATTTTTTTAATTTTTATATATAGAAACAATAATAGATGATTTTCGTTTTTTTTTCTTCTAGCTTCTCAATCCATGATGTACATTTGTATGGTACTTTGAATAGAAACTGTATTGCTCCTGTTTTCTTGGACATTTTCCTTGACGACTCATGTATTCGCCAAATTCACATATTGGCTGGGTACAATCTCCATTGTGAATGCATCTGAAATATTTTTTTAATTAATTAAAAGTTAGTAAAAATCAGTAAAAACTACTAAAAATTACTAAAAACTACTATTTACTATTTTTTTTACGATAAGCCACGATTTGGATACTTTTTTTTAAATTTATGACACTAAAAGCTACTTTTTCTTCTTTTTGAAAATATTCACGAGTTTCAATTCGCCAATAGTTGGAATAAAGAAATTATTCTTGAAAACTTTAATAAAATTCTTCTTAGAAACAATTTGAAAATTATTTTAGAAAAATTCTTTGACACAATTCAATTGTATTTCAAAAAATTTTCGAAAATCATTTGATACTTACAGACGATCTCTAATTGAGAAATAGACTTTTCCACGTCTTGTTCTAATACAATTTTGATCCGTGTCGGAGCACTTGCATTGGCATTCAGCATCAGGAGTAATTTTTGGCAAAAACTCCGAAGGACATCTACAACTGAAATGGAATTAAAAAAAATTAATTAAATTTGAACCTTTCTTGACGTGAGGTAATGAAATTTATATTATTAAAACAATTAAAGGAAGAATGAACGAGACCTAAACATAGTGAAGAAAGAAGAAAAAAATTTTTTTCTTCTTTCTTCACTGTGTTTAGGTCTTTTTCGAGAGACAACAATTATTATTGTTGGCAATGAAGTGACCGCACAATAGGGAGGAATGAACGAGACCTAAACACGGTGAAGAAAGAAGAAAAAAATTTTTTTTCTTTCTTCACTGTGAAGAAAGAAGAAAAAAATTTTTTCTTCTTTCTTCACTGTGTTTAGGTCTTTTTTGAAAGACAATAATTATTATTGTTGATAATGAAGTGACCGCACCATAGGGAGAAATGAACGAGACCTAAACACAGTGAAGAAAGAAGACAAAATTTTTTTTTTCTTTCTTCACTTTGTTTAGGTCTCTTTTGAAAGACAATAATTATTATTGAAGGAAGTGAATTTATCATTCGGTGATTAAATATTAAATTTAAAAGAAGTTAACAATTTTCCCGAATCAATCTACACAAATAAATTAAATATCTTAAATAAATCTCGATAAGCTCATGGGCTTCAATGAAAATGAAGTGACCGCACAATAGGGAGGAATGAACGAGACCTAAACACAGTGAAGAAAGAAGAACACATTTTATTTCTTCTTTCTTCACTGTGTTTAGGTCTTGTTTATTCCTCCCTATTGTGCGGTCACTTCATTGCCAACAATAATAATTATTGTCTTTCAAAAGAGACCTAAACACAGTGAAGAAAGAAGAGAAATTTTTTTTTCTTCTTTCTTCACTGTGTTTAGGTCTTTTTCGAGAGAAGTGACCAGACAATAGAGAGGAATGAACGAGACCTAAACACAGTGAAGAAAGAAGAAAAAAAATTTTTTTTTCTTTCTTCACTGTGAAGAAAGAACTAAACACAGTGAAGAAAGAAGAAAAAAAATTCTCTTCTTTCTTCACTGGATTTAGGTCTCGTTCATTCCTCCCTATTGTGCAGTCGCTTTATTGTCAACAATAATAATTATTATCTTTCGAAAAATCTTTTCTGCAAAGTCAAAAATCAAAAGGACAATAATTTAACAACATACGGTTTTTTTGGCGGTAATTTCCGAAGATTTTGAGGTATAATCGGAGGATGATGCCTTGCAAATCTTGTTTCCGCCGTTTTCTCAACCTTCACACCAATTTCAGTTCTCTCGCGACATTCACATTCGGTGTGATTGTAGAAAGTTAGTTTTTCCACTACACTACTTCCTTCTAAATTCGTTGTCTGAAACAAAAAAAAAGAAACATTTGTAATCATTAAATTGTCCACTTTAATTGAAATGCTAAAGTCTGTGTATTTTAAATACCCGCGTTGACTTTGACATCTTAATTACATACAATAATAAAATTTGCATAACTTTTGGTAAATCATTTCACGAGCATACACTTGGTAATTGGATACTGAAGAAAGAGACAATAATGAACATGTTTCTTCCCGTCAAAAAAAAAAACAAACAAACAAATTACACAGGATGTAAAATTAAGGATTTAAAATTATTATCATTACACAGCATTCTATATACACAACAAGAGAGAGAGGGGATGTGTTCTTGTCTTGGAAATGTCTCGACATTTTTATTTTCCCTTCCTCCTTTTGTAATGGAAATGTTGGCATCATAAAAAAAAGAATGGAACTATTTTGCTTATTCAACGAGACTCGTGCATTGTCAGTTACGTTGGAATTTTCAAAACAGATTGTTCGTTCCGGTCTTTGAACTTAGTGATAAACATATATATACAAGACGTCGTGTCAATTGTATTGTCGTTATATGTACATTGTACAATATTAGGAAATAATTACAATAATCATTTATATACTCCCATTGTAGTCACTCAAAGTGACGTCTACTTTCTATTTTGCAATCACTTAATAAAGTGATATTAACATACAAATATATGTTTATAACCCTAAAAATCTCATGATACCAATTTACATAAAAATCCGTCTAGTTTCTTAAAATTTGTCCGCCATTTTGGATCCGCCATTTTGAATTTTGATTATCTGAACCCAGATTCGTAATTAGCCAGTACACTATTTTTTATGAGATGCTTGCTTAATTATAAAGGAATTGTCAATTTCAATATGGCGGACACAATATGGCGTCTAATTTACTATGTGACTAGTAAATGTTTTAGTAACACTTCAAACGGGTCTTATTTTTATTTTTTTTTATTGAACAAGATGAATATCATTATCGATTCCTTGATAAAAATAATGAACGTGTTGAAAGAGAGGAGAATTATTTATAGAGATCGTAAAAATAATACAAGCCCACAATTCAGATTACTTTACAGGAATAATATTGTTGTAGGTTGAATTAGAACTAGATTTTATTGTTAGAAGAAAATGTTTCTCCAATGTTCGCTCTTCGATTGCAAAACCTGTTCATTTACCCTAGAGACTAAAAAAAATATTTTTGCATTTCTCTCTCTCTCTCTCTCTCTCTCTCTCTCTCTCTCTCTCTCTCTCTCTCTCTCTGTCGATTGATTCAATCTCCCACAGTGACAACATTTTTTCTAATTACATTATTTCACTGATTTTAAATTTATGATTTCTTTTATTGAAATGTAAAACGGTAGCGTTTCAGGTAGAAAAAAAGTAGCCTACTTATTAAGAGTAGGCGAAGAAGAAAAGATTTGTTGACTGGAAACTATTTTATTTGTTACAAATGAACTTTTATTTCGATTCAATAATTATGAAACGGTATCAAGAGACGGATAGTAACATTTTTTTTTGTTCTTGTAGCTCTCTGAGAATGTTTTTCATCTCGAGGAGGGCTAATAAAAATCTCACTCTTTTTCTCTCGGTTCACAACATTGAAATATTGAATTATGATCCTCTTGTATACCGATCCCTTATTTTCTCATTTAAATTGGCTCCACCTCATATTGCCACAAGCACTAATTGTGCCTCCAAGCTGCATGATACTTTTGCGAGAAAAAATTGTTACGCACCGTTAATTACTAATCACGATTCGATTTCGATTCTTAATTGAAGGGAAAAAAGAAGATTCAATTCCTAAAAGCCCGCGAATTTATTTAAATCTAAAAGCATTTTTGACAGCATTTATCTTTAAATTTTTGGGTTTTGTTTTTTGTTTAGGAAACTGATAATATAGAGTCTGTTCTCAATGTTCATTTTGCTCTTAATGCAAAGAGGCCACCGGGTAAGTTTTTAAGGAGAAGAGTTCTCTAGATTTACGGTCTGAAAGATATTTCGACCAAAGCCATTCATTGAGGAGGATGATCGCGAATCTCAATCTGAACGTTAGGAGCGGAGAGGATCACTTGAGAGGGAATACACACGAGGCATATCGTTGAATGTTGTTCTCGTGTTACAAAGAGAGCGAAAGGATTTTACACTTTATGCTTTGTCAGCAAAAGGGGTCGAAAAATAACAAGAAGGTAGGGAAAAAAGGACAAAAAGAAGAGAGAAAGGTGTTTCAAGTTCTGTATGTGTACCAGATCGTGCGAATCTAGACAGAGACAAAGTGTACCAACAACCAACTCGGAGAGTGGAGGAAACAATTTTTTTTAGGGTATTTGACCTAAACAAACTTAACAGGGTAAAGGAAAAATCCCTTTTAGTATGATCTGATCCATCTTCTCTTCCTAACTACCAAATTCCACCAACCATAACTTTGGTATACTCTTCTCGCCCATTATCAAAACTGATTATAATTATAATTGGAGGATTATTAGAATAGAGGAACACTAGGACGCTGATAATTAAAATTAGAGAATTAAGGGACTAACGAAATACAAAGAAGCTAATGATGTCATCAAACCTGATGATTGATTACGGGCACATAGGAAGAGATTGTAAAGCAGACAGATCAACCGCATACTTCAGGTACCCAGAAGTCGATCATAAGTTCGCAAACTGTAAAAGAAGCCCAAGCTGCTTCCTTTGTAAGGAAAAGTATGTCGATAAGCTAAATGTGAACCATATTCCCGGTAATGGGGTCTGCTCTATTTGTTGTGTTATAAATTCCGTTTTTAACTATTGACCTAGGATATCCGCTGGGAATTGCGAAAGTCCTATTTGCGACAGAGATGGAGCGCCACCCTTGAAGGCAAAAGTCTTACGACAGTTTCGAATGCAGACAAAAGGACTCCTAAAGAAGCTTTACGGATTTTAGTGGGTCTGAGCTTATCAAAGTTCCCCAGCTATTTATGTTAAAATATTTTACTTATTTATGATTTTATGAGAAGGCTGACGATGTCATCAAATCTGACGGTAAATAGAATTAGAAATAAAACACCCGAGCTTTGCTTTTCCATAAAGGCGGCGCTAGGACAGAATTAAATTTCAGCTTTTTGCTAAAAGTCATCCTGCCGGATTTATTGCCACTTTTCCCACTAGGAAGAAATCGATTTAAATTTACAGTGATTATAAAAGCCTCCCGTTGAATAATACTCCATATACATAAACGTGTACGGAAATCTGCGAGTGTGAAAAAAAAAGAAAAAAAAATCCTACTCTCGGATAGTGCACATTCACGCCCACGATATAAAGTCAGCGTGAAATTGTCGCTGTTGGCGGTTTCACTTACCAAATGCCGTTACGGCTTTCGACTCTCCATACTTTACATATAACGATATAGTAACCATTTTTCGAATTTACAAGAACGACTTCATTCCTTTATTCATTTCATTATAATCAGATATTAAAAAATTGAATATATCTGTCTAATTAAAAAAGTTCATCATTTATGAAAGAAATAAATTTACATGAGTACTTTTAGTCTTGGTAATATAATTGTACAAACTGCAGGAGGTCGTAATTTCCGGTTTCGCGAAAGGAGTGCCCTGGGGAATTATTAAATTATTTAAAAATTTCAAAAAGCATGTCGAATTTCGGAATTTAATTTGGCGAATCTTGTGTGCGTTTTTTGGTTTTCTTCTTTTTTGCTTTGGTTTACCAAGATTGTATATACATGTGCAGCTGATCATTCACAGGAGAGCGACAGACACCTTATTAGCATTCGCTTGTATTTTGCCCTGAGGCTTCCACTCGGAAATGAATTGTACACCCACACGCGTCTACATGTAAGTGCCGAAAAACTTTTTTTTAATAGCTAACATCCGCTCATCATTTTCATTATCGCCATAAATAATAGTCGTATATGCAAGTAATTGATAACTCTCTGGAATTGTTGTAATTTATTGTATGTTTATAATAATAACAACAACGTGAAAATTAGAACCGATTTGAATAAAGGACTATAACCATCAGAGTGGACAATGAATGGGTCTCTGGGTAATCGACTTGCATAAAGTCATCACATCTTTAATCTATTAATCCTGAAATTTTAATTATCATCAGATTTGATGACATTCTAAGGTTTTTAGATACAATTGTAATGCTCCAGTTCAAACTTAATCAGTTCTATTAATCCTTCAATTCTAATTATCCTCAGTGATCTTGTATACATCTATTCTACTATAATCCCCTAATTCTAATTAGCATCACTTTTCTAGTATTCCATTATTCAATTAATCATCTAATTGCAATTACCATCAGGTTTAGTGACATGATTAGCTTCCTCGTATTTTTCTATTCTGTTATTCGCTAATTCTAATTATCATCAGCTTTTTTGAATTGCATTATTTAATTAATCCTCTAATTCTAATTATAAACATCTTTCTTGTATTCCATTATTCCTTTAATTCTACTTACCATAAACTTTCTTGTATTCCATTATTTAATTACTCTTCTAATTCCAATTCCCATCAAATTTGATGACATCATTAGCTTCCTCGTATTTTTCTATTCTGTTATTCGCCAATTCTAATTATCATCAGCTTTCATGAATTTCTTCAGTTAATTAATCCTCTAATTCTAATTATGAACATCATAGATGCATTCCATTATTCCTCTAATTCTAATTACAATAAACTTTCTTGTATTTCATTATTCAATTAATCCCCTAATTCTAATTCCCATCAGGTTTGGTGATATCATGACCTTCCTCGTAATTTTCTATTCTGTTATTAGCTAATTCTAACTATCATCAGCTTTTTTGAATACCATTATTAAATTAATCCTCTAATTGTAATTAATAGCATCTTTCTTGGATTAAATTATTCTTCTAATTCTAATTACCACCAACTTTCTTATATTCCATTATTCAATGAATCCCTTAATTTCAATTCCCATCATGTTTGGTGACATCATTAGCTTCCTCGTATTTTTCAATTCTGTTATGCGCCAATTCTAAT